ACGCCTCAGAGAGCTATCAGGAATCGAAGGGGAAGCGAAATTTCGGACGATGTCGGATAGAAACGAGAGGTTCGGATGGTAAATGTGAATTGGTATTATAATAGAGAAACTACCAATTGCTTGTCTCGTAGGATTGTCAGAAATCAAAGAGGATGCGCGGTTAGAAACGAGAGAGATGGACCTGAAGTTTATTATGGAAGAATAGGTGTCTGGATTGGACCAAATCGGAACCATAAGGAACGTTATGGATGATTTTATTAGTGACAAAATATGGAGCATTGAGGATTTTACGAAGGATATTGGATTGTAAGGATTGGATGGCGAGAGGAATTCGATGGCTTTTTGGAGCCCCAAATCTCAACTCCATAAGTCCAAATAGGTCTTATTGTAGTCATGTATCTGAGTCTTTTGTAATTGACTGGAAGCTTAGAGCGTTTGTCTAGTAAGTGCTGGTGGAGTAGATCGAAACTTCGAGCGTTTTCTTGTCGTTTCAGTCTGGTATGAGGATTTCAAGATATGGGGAGTTCAAGTGGAGTCCAAGGTATCAGATTTGTTCACCAGGGATAAGTGGAGTATTATTAAATGATACTGTAGGACAGGAAGCCATAGGATTTTCGAAGAAGGGTAAAGATGATTTGATGGAATTCATTTTAATAATCCAGTTTTGACTACAGTCATTAATGTTTATGGAAAAAAATAAATAAAGTTCCATGATCCGTCCGAACTCCTTCATCACAAATGTCTAGAGAAGAAGTACATACATTTTATTATCAGTAACAGTTGAAAAACATAATTTAATTTAACAAAAACTACAGTCATTTCAATCCAAAAATTTATAGAATATATACATAATGTAATTATTATTGGTGTAAAATATATATGTTTTTATAATTTACTTCTTGTCGATAACTTTTTTTATTTCGATTTTGATGCATTTTTCCTACTGTTGAAATTCAATTGCTTTCAAGCTTTTAAAATCCGATTGATTTTGTTACACATATTGTGAAATATTTACACAAAAACATGAAAAATGAGCTCATTTAGAAAATTATAAATTTATAAATTGTTGAATAAAGTTGTTATTTTAAAAAAATAAAAAGAAGTTATGTGGAGAGCAGACTCGAACCCATGGCCCAGGAATCAAACAATATATTACATAGTGGGCTTTGCCTCTTACGAAATACATTCAGTAATACTAAGTTGTACCCAGGAAATTGTCAAAGTATGCGCCGGTTACCACGGAAAGCTGCAAGTCCGCACAACATTTAAGTGTGTGAGGTGAGGTTTGCCATTGCGCCGCATGAAGATTAATTTTTATTTCATTAAAATTGTATCCAAGAAATTGTGAAAGTATGCGCCGTTTATTACACTAAGCTACAAACCCGCACAACGATTAAGTGTGTAAGGTGAGGAATGCCATTGCGCCGCACAAAGAAATGTATGCGCCGTTTATCACACTAAGCTACAAACCCGCACAACGATTAGGTGTTTAAGGTGAGGAATGCCATTGCGCCGCACAAAGAATTAATATTAATTTTAATTAGTATCTACGTATTCGAAAAAGGAAATTTCATTTCTGGAATGTTTTTATACTACATTAAAGGATAAATTTCACATGATATTTAACATCGTAAATGAAAAACAATTACATATATATATATATATATATATATATATATATATATATATATATATATATATATATATAATACACACACTTATTTTTTGTAACTTGATTTATTAACTATTTATAAGTTAATTAGATACACTTATTTTGTTTAACAAAAAAATATTTACTTTCCTGAGAAAAAGTCATTTTAATTTAGCCACTGTTTTTAACTGCAACTGAAAAAATAATTATTATATTACTCAGGAAACATAATAATTAGGAAAATGCCTAAAAATAATTTAGAAAAAATTATTATGTTATTTATTCTTTGGATTAGTAAATTATTAATTATTCATTAATCTAAGTAATACATAACTAAACTACTAATAAATAAACCTGTAAAAAAGGATTACTAAATATTTCCGACTCACTGCCACCATCACTGATAAAATAGAATAGAATAGAAAATAGAACTTTATTCTGGGACTAAGTCCCTTTAGAATAACAAAGATGAATTAATACAAAATAAAATACAAATCTGGCCAAAAACTAACTTATAAAAATTCTAACATTATATACATTATTTAAAATGTAGTCAGTAACCACTAAGAAATAAACAAAAAAAGATATATATATATATATATATATATATATATATATATATATATATATATATATATATAAACACACACACATATACAACTGATGTTTCTTAAAATGTTCCTGTTATTATATGAGTATGGTATAGTTGCATTTACTAAAAAGGTTCTGAAGGTTGAACTGATTTTGAACATATTCAGTGAAGACAGCACGTTATTCCTTCAATCTAGCTGGGTTGTTCATGTTGATCGCGTATATCCTCAGATTAAGAAAAGGATATAAAGTCTTTGGGGTTATTTCTTCAAAAATATTTTTAAAAAACATTTTTTTTATTTTATTACTCACGTTTCAATGAAAGACCCCTGCCTAGTCAATTTTCACCAGCTTTTCAATCAAGATGACCCCAAGAACGAAGAAGACATGCTCCACAATGAGGACTTCGACATAGAAGATGTTTAAAAAGTTAGATATATTGGATATAGAAATAACTGTCGAAAGGCTTCATTCAAACAAGAAAGGCACCAGGGATGAACAATCTACCATCAGAATTGTTTAAAGATGGAGAAGAAAACTTAAGAAGTACTGCAACTAATCCAGAAAATATGGGAGGAGGAAAGCATGCCAAAGATTTGTAATACGGCCCTAAACAGATGCTCCATGTATGAGTGTAATAATTACAGAGGCATAAGTCTGCTTTCGGTTGCCTACTAAACCGGATATGCTCGTATTACGAAAATATTACAGGCGGCCATCAAGCTGGATTCAGTAGAAGAAGGAGCACGCTAGAACATATCTTCTTACTAAAACAAGTACTCGAAACATTATGGTAAGTAGCTTTATTTGGCGATTTCAAAGCAGTCTATGGCTCCATGGTCTGGAATTGTCATTGGAAAATATGTACTAGGAGTTTTACTGAGAAAATATGTAGGGAAGTAGGTGAGATTGACGAAAAAGTGTACAAATGGCCTTAAAGGGCTAGTTCTAATACAAGGAGAAGTATCTAAAGCCACACAAAGTTCATGACAATGATAAACTTGCCAAGAGAATAAGGAAAAGAAAACTCTGATTAGAGAAGCAGTACTAGTAAATGAAGATAAAAAAAATATCCGATAAGCCAACAATGCCATCCCAATAACAGAATCTGCGTAGAAGAGAAATCTACAATAACCTCAATGAATGAACAACGATCAGAAATAGACCAGCGTATAACAAACTCAAACAGAGCTTTCTTCACTCTTTCAAAGATATTGAATTCAGAAAAATGTCAAATTAAGTGTGTACAATGGTATGATAAAGACAGTTATAAGATCTGGACCCCGAACTGCAACATAGAAAAAAATATTGAAAGATTTGAGAGACAAATTCTCTGCACTATAACTGAAAAGATCTGAAATCAAAATACCAATGCATTGAGGAGAAAAACCAATCAAGAACAACTTATATAAACTGTTTAATCAATATTACATTATATTAGCAAGATTAGGTCAAGGATAAGGCAAGGAGGTTGAGATGGGCGAAGCATGCAGCTAAGAGCAATCCATCTTACATACATCGAAAACATAAATTCAATAGAGTAGCATACTAATACCTGAAAAGATATTGTCCGAAACAGACAGAGGTGGAAAAGTCTGGTTAAGGCGTCAAAAGATCAACAAAATCTGCAACGCCAACTTAATTTGTTTTTGAATATTTAATAGTTGACCCTTACAAAAACTACATTTGTCATTTCAACAACAATAACGTGATTTCAATCCAAAATTTTACGACTTATAACAGGAGCTCCCTGGTACGTCAACAACAAAACTTTACATAACGACTTACGACAACCAACTATAGACCAACACATACGCACTCTCTACTCTTGTTTTCACCTCAAACTACACGGACACATAAACAGATTTATAACCGACATGCCTAAGACTGACATACCTATCAGGAGGAGATTAAAAAGGAGCTGGATGAGAGATCTTCTCGCCTAAATAAAAAAAAATAAATAATGATCAAGAAGAGGTGGTGTTGGTGATAGTATCCTTCCCCATGCCTTTAATGCCTATCCTCATCATCAGAACACATCTGCTGATTGTCAACACCATGACAGGTGCGAATAAATAATTAAAGAGAAAAAAAATAGTTGACCGTTGCATTATAAAGGAAGCATTATAATAATAGGAAGGTGGTCTGGGGTGGCGGTCATAAATAGGCTGAATGGTGGCATACTATACTATACTTTTTTATCTATTAGTATGCTACTCTGTTTCTTTTTGTTTTCGATGTTTCCATATACTCTTTGACCTTCCACGTGGTCTTTTGCCTACTCTTGAGGCATTCATTGTTGTGTGGAGACTTCCAGATGGATCGCTCTTAGCTACATGCTCCGTCCATCTCAACCTTTTTGCCTTATCCTGCAAATATAATGTGATAATGATTGAACAGTTTCTATAAGTTGTTCTTGATTGTTTTTTCTCCTCAATGCATTGGTATTTTGATTCCAGATCTTTCCAGCTCTAGTGAAGAAAATTTTTCTCTCAAATCTTTCAATATTTTTTTCTAGGTTGCTGTTTGGAGTCCTGATCTCTGTCTTTATCATAGCATAAAATAAAATAGTTTTGCCACTATTCAGCCTATTTTTGACCACCACTCCGAACCATCTCCTTCCATTAATTTATTTTTTTAATGAATAAGTAAATAAAAACATGACCAACTGGCCCCAATTTGCGGACTTAAAAGAATTTTTTCTCCCGTTGCTTGAAATAGATACAGATTTTAATATTGCGTTGATGTCCTTTAAAAGATGTCCCCACAACACTTTGGTGGCCTCCATCCTGCAGGAGCCGCACGGCCTATGGTGCCCGAACACACAGCTGCCCGCGGGGCATTGACTGGCCCCTGCGGTTGGACAACGAGCGCCCTTGGCGTGTCAAGGCCTCCTCATTGGCTGAAAATCGTTAGCGGCCCTTTCCTTAGCTCGCCCTCATGTGTTTACTTTGCTTTATCTAATTTATTATTTAGAAACCTCTTAAACCTCTTTGTGATAATTGGCAAAAAACAGTTTCAATAAATTACATTAAAATTATTTAATATATAATTTAGAATAGAATAGAAAATAATTTTATTCTGGGACGAAGTCCCTTTAGAATAACAAAAAAGTACAAAATTAAAATATTGTATCTGGCCAAATAAAAACAAACATAAAAAGTAAAAATAAAGATAAATAAGTGAAGAAAATATTAGTTATACATACTATATACAATTTTTTTTTTTAGAATGGATTATTTGTTTATTGATAAATATTACACTCTGTCTCAATAAAGGACATTTATAATAGAGTTCTGAGAGCACATTCACACCATATTTACAAATTAAAAAATAAATAAATAAGCTAATTTCAAATTGTGTAAAGCTATAAAAGAACAAAATAAAATATCATAGTGAAGGAAGGAAATATAAATAATAGTAATAATAGAATAAAAATAAATGAATAAAATAGAATTAAAATTATCTTGAAAAAAAAAGTAATGAAAATAAACATCTTAGATGCAGGCATACCTATTTACACTATTTACAGTCGGCCATGGGACTTATCCTCCCACATGTGGAGGGAAAGCGAAGCTTCAGGAGATCCCTGTGCTTCTTCCTCAACCACTTCACTGGTATTACAAGCCAGCGGAGATTGAGTAAGGGCGCTACAACCACAGACACTCATGACTTTAGTGGAGAATCTGGCCATTGCCAGAACTCCAATATATACATGTTACAAATGATCACAGGGCCACTTCCGTTTTAGCCTGCGAGGAGGATTGTAGGGATGAGTGGTGCTAGATAGGGATTGTGCTACGGGATTAGGGTGATGGGTAAGGTTCTGATGAAATTTGGAGAATTTGTCTGAGATAAGATCAAGAATAAATGGAATATTAAGGCCATTATGCAGTGTTTTATTGGTGACATAGAAGGGAGCATCGATTATTGTACGGAGGACTTTGTACTGGAAGGATTGAATGTGTTTGATGTTAGAAAATTTGGTTGTCCCCCACAGTTCTAATCCGTAGGTCCAGATGGGTTTTAGTATTTTCTTGTAGATCAGTAGTTTGTTTTCAATAGAAAGTTTAGATATACAAAATTAAAAAAAAAATCTATATACAAAACTCTTGAAACCATGCCAAGACACTTAAAATGATGTACAGTGGTAATATATAAATATAGACTTTTAGAAAAAAAAATACATTACATTCTTCTTAGCAGTAAACTCTGTGTTTATGATGAAAAAAAAAGAAAAAAGAAAGTCGAATCTGATAGTAAGTATTTAGGTGGTGAGTTATATGTAAATACATCATTATGAATAATATGTAATTTTACATAAAAGGTTAGCGGTGTCTGACTGTTTTTGGGACAGGAATTGGAATAGGATGTTTTTAAATGTAGATAGGAAGGAACAATAGCGAATTTTGATAGGAAGAGAATTCCAGAAATTAACAGAGCGAGCAATAATATCTTTCTTTTCTTTTAACTTAAAAAGTTCATCTGCAACTGTCGACGAAAATCAGCAGATGAATATAGCTAACGAGAATGGAATTTCTATTTAATGATGTACTAAGAATTCATGAACTTTCGGGTTCTAAGAAGGACATGATACAATATCTTGGACTGACATTCGACAGAAGAATGACATGAATCACACATATCAACAAAACATTTTTTTTTTATTATTTGAATTTACAACTGTATAATGATAAATACAACTAGTAAATATGAAATAAGTAATTTGACATGTACGACATGAAGAGGTAGCATTCCAATTATATTTCTATATCAGAATGTTCCGAGGCCATCTTCTTTTCAGACGCCTCGGAGGGTTATCAGGAATAGAAGGGGAAGCAAGGTTGGAAACAAGAGGGTTGGGATGGTTCAGAAGTTTATTATGGAAGAATAGGTATCTGGATTGAGCTAAATCGGAAACATATGGTACATTAAGGTCGTTATGGATGATTTTATTTGTGACAAAGTAGGGAGCATTAAGGATTTTACGAAGGATTTTGGATTGTAGGGATTGAATACGAGAGGAATTTGATGGTTTAGTAGAGCCCCAAAGCTCGATCCCGTAAGTCCAAATAGGCCTTATTATAGTAATATATATGAGTCTTTTGTAAATAGTTGGAAGTTTAGAGCGTTTGTCGAGTAAGTGCTGCTGTAGTCGAAAAAGTCGGGCGGTTTCTAGTCGTTTCAGTCTGGTATGAAATAGGAGTTCCAAGTGAGTCGTTTGTCAAGGTGGAGTCCTAGGTATCGGATTTGTTCAACAGGGATAAGTAGGCATTGCTGAAGGATACTGTAGGACAGAAAGTCATAGGTTTACGACGAAGAGTAAAGGCAATTTGATTGGAATTTATTTTAATCCTCCAGTTTTGACACCATTTTTCAAGATTTGTTTTAAGTGATTGAAGAGTTTGGGACGCAATAAATGGTTCATTATTAACTGATAGGATTCACGTGTCATCAGCATAGGTGGTAATGACAGTGTTGGATTGGGTTGAAATGTCAGCTGTATAAACTGTGTAAAGAATAGGACACGTTAAACCTAATACTACGACTATTATACTCATTCCTCACAAGACGCTCACAATGAAACCCAAAACAAAGACTGAACTCACATTTACTTACTGAATACTACTACTTAACTCTGTATGGACCTACGCTCCACAGATTTACGAAACAACCAAACTTTCAGCACTATAATTAAAGCTGCATGGTACGTAACAAACATTATTTCACACAAAGACCGTCAAATGCCAACAATTAACCACCACATACGGCCAAACTACAAAATATTTCACGATAATTGTATGGACATACTAACACAATCATGAAATATATGGCTACATTTAACATGACCAAAAACATGCTTAGGAGGCTAAAAGAAGTTAGATGAGGGATCTCCTTGGTTAAAAGTATACTAAAAACTAATTACACCAAGAAAATAAAAACACAACATATTTGCTAGATGCGCAGCTGCGCAGGTGCAAATTGCATAAAACAAAATATATAAATAAAGTAACACCTTCGGAATGTACCCCTTTTAAAAATTTAAAACTCCGTCAAAACGTGCTCCCCTCAAAACTTCGTTAATACGTGCCCACCTCAAAAATTTTAATGGCGCAACAGGTACCACTCTGCCAACAGTTTCAAATATGTTGCAATCAAATTCAAACAAACAAGCTCCTGTTTATCATCCTCCTATTTTCATTTACCTAGCCCTGAATTCATTGATAGATAAACTTAGTTTTCTTGCTTTTTCTTTTTTTCTTTTAATGTCCTACAAAAATATCTGACGTTTTAGTGTGACACCAACCTCCAACAAGTAAAAATAACGAGGTTAGATAGGCTAAACGGCATAATCAATTTTATTTTTATTTTTTGTCTACAATTCTTCATCCGCACCTGTCATGGTAGTGACAATTAGCAAATTGGTTGTTAAGTTGAAAATGGCATGATAGGCATGACAAAGAATGAAGCGGAGCAGCACCTCTTCCCTGGTCTGTTTACATCCTAAAATCAGGAAAGGAGATCTCTCATCCAGCTCCTTTTCAGTCGCCTCCTGATGAGCATTTCAGGCGTGGCCATGTCGTTGATAAGTCCATTGTGATGTCCGTGTAGTTTAAGATGAAATCGGAAGTAAAGAGTACGTATGTGCTGGTCAATGGTTGGTTGTCTTAGTTCGGTATGTAAAGTTTTGTTGTTGACATACCACATCAAATTAAACTACGTTTCAAGTGTAAATGGCTATTCATGAGTTGTTAGTGCCTCATTAATTTTATTAATTTAATAAGAAAACGTCTCATTTTTGAGCATTTTCGTAGATAAACAATATTGTTGTCTACAATAAGATGAAAGTACAATTCAAAAAGTTTTGACGGATGAACCAATAAGTAAGTATCATGTTAGTTCTAAAGATAATAGTGTACAATAGTAGTATAGTAGGTTTAGTATTAATCTATAGTTAATGTGTTGATGATGATGTTGCAGTTGTAGTATAGTATAGTAGGTTTAGTATTAATCTATAGTTAATGTGTTGATGATGATGTTGCAGTAGTAGTATGGTATAGTAGGTTTAGTATTAATCTATACTTAATACGTTGATGATGATGTTGCAGTCCGGCGAGGCGGATACCCCGGTGATCGGGAGGCCGCGGGCCGTCCCCGAACGAGGCTTCTGGGGGTCCCGGCCCCCCAGCCCCGGCGGCAGCGAGAGCTCGGCGGTGATGCCGGCTCCCCCCTCCCGCCCCAAGTCCAGGGCGGGCGCCAAATACGACTCCCTCAACTACTGGAGAGCCAAGAGGGTAAGTTGCTTTGTATTAACAAACATAACTAGCTATACTTCAAGGTTTCGCCAGCCTAAAATTAGATAAGTTCCCAAATTCAGCACTGAGCCCATCGATGACACCACTTGAACTGCGCAAAACGTTTTGTTTTCGGAATCTCAAGAGATACGCATATAACCCAGTATTATACCAAGTTGAAGTGGCTCTATCCATCCAACCGCCATCTGTACTTCCTTGCTACCTTTCTATACCAAGCCATCAGAACTCAGCGACCTTCCTATATGTTTTACAGCCTACAATTTAAATATTCCATTCAATCCCGTCCCACTAGATCCCGTACTTCTGACCTCTACCCACCTCTTCACCGAACTGCTACGTTTGACAAATCCTTTATAATTCATGCCGCCTCCACCAGGAATACCATCCCTCCCGATAACCGACATGCACAATTAGTTTCTCCAATTAAATCTCTCATTTTTAAGCACCTACTTCTTTCCCAACCAGACTGATCAAGACAAGTAGATAAGAGAGCTTTTTAAGTTCTCCCAGAAATGATTTTGTTTACTTATATTATTTTATTTTCATATTTTTGTATTATATATATATATATATATATATATATATATATATATAGTGTTTTTGTTTTGATTTTCTTCCAATATTTTAATTTTAATGAGAATTGTAAATATTTAATTTAATTTTATGGCCAAACAGACATTTTCTCTGTATCTATAATTTGTCGTAAAGGGACAACAGTTCCAGTATAATAAAAATCTATTTTCATTTCACTTAGCCTAGTTTAGAAACGGATCCAATGTTTTCGATGAGCTCAGAGCTCAAGTAAAGGAATATGCCTGATAATGAGTATACTACCAAGAAAATGAATTCTGAACAATGCCCGACATTTATATGAAATGAAATGAAAAAATAATTTCATTCTGGGACTACTGTCTCCTAAGAATAATATAGTTACAAATTTATGGGTATTAGTCTGACTTAGAATAATAAAAAATATAAACTAATTACTGATACTGGTACTGGTACAGGTGGGGGGACCTAGTCCGGCAAGTGGGCCTCTTAGTCCTTTTTGCTAACCCTAAAATTTGATACTACCAGTGGTTGTCTATTGTACCTCTATTCTGTCTCAAACCTTTTTCTTCTTCTAATGAAGTTTAAAAGGTTGAACCATTTAATGGAGGCAGCTTTGAATACTTGGATTCTGTCTGCTCTCAGAAGTCTGTATCTGAGTGACGCAAATCGGTCACATTCCGTTATGAAGTGAAGGGCAGTTTCAGGTGCACTTCTGCAGATATTACAGAGTTCATCCTCCACTATCCTACAGATCTTTAAATTTCTTTTAAGTCTGCAGTGGCCTGTTAGTACTCCGATGGTGAGTTGGATTTATTGTTTAGTTAGGCCCAGCAGCCACTTTGTTTTGGAGGGAGAGGAGCTTTTAATAAATTGCTTCGCTTGTCTAAGCCAAGTGCATTCCCTCCATTCTTTACCTGTTATCTTCCAAGTCTAATCAAGGACTTCTTCCGCTGATGTTTTTTGGATATTCCTATTACAGGTTCCGGGCCTACAATAGGAGATTCAGCTTTCCTGGCTTGGTAATCAGCTTTTTCGTCGCCTTTAATTCCCTTGTGACCAGGGACCCACACTAGTTCCACCCTCTTGGAGCAGGCCAGTTTCTCCAACACATGTTTACACTCCTGCACTAGTGTGGCGGTCACTTTGGGAGACTGCAATGCTTGTAGTGCTGACTGACTATTCGAATAGATAGTAATGCCAGCATTCTCACAATTGGTAACTTCTAAACATGTGACTGCAGAAAGTAAAGCAAACACCTCTGCTTGAAATATCGTAGCATGTTTACCTAGTGGTATGCTTAATTCTATATTTAGGTTCTGTATATAGACTCCTGTACCCGTTAAACTAGTAGTGTCTTTCTTTGAACCATCGGTAAAACAGGGCAGGTAGTCCTTTTGAGTCTCTACAGAACCCTGTTCCCAATCTATTATGTTAGGGTACAGGTAGCTGACCTTACTATCTAGAGTAAGGTTTTTGTCAAGCGGCGGAGAGAGATACCGTAAGATAGGTAACTCTTTTTCCACCTTCCTGTCTATTTCTAACAGTGTTGGGCATTTACTCGAGTAAATGTCGAGCAGTGACGTCACGAGTGATCACTCTTGGAAGCTTAGCCATGAGTAATTTTGAAAATTACTCGTGAAATATTTTTCCTTCATGAGTAAATCACTCGTGAAAAATGTTATCTCCATGAGTAAATTACTCATGAAAAATTTTAACGCCATGAGTAATTTTGAAAAAAAAATGTTTTTATTTTATTTAACCTAATTTTTTTTTTCACCTTTCCGATTTATTCAATATCGGGGTCGACATATATGTTTCGGGGGGCGCTTTTTATGAAAATGATATCCAATTTGAGATTGGGCCCCCCCGCCCCCGTTTTTTTTTAACTTTTGGGATTAAATCGATATCAGGGTCGACTTATAGGTTTTGGGGGGCGCTTTTTATGAAAATGATATCCAATTTGAGATTGGACCCCCCGTCCCCGTTTTTTTTTAACTTTTGGGATTAAATCGATATCAGGATCGACTTATAGGTTTCGGGGGGCGCTTTTTATGAAAATGATATCCAATTTGAGATTGGACCCCCCCGCCCCCGTTTTTTTTTAACTTTTGGGATTAAATCGATATCAGGGTCGACTTATAGGTTTTGGGGGGCGCTTTTTATGAAAATGATATCCAATTTGAGATTGGACCCCCCCGCCCCCGTTTTTTTTTAACTTTTGGGATTAAATCGATATCAGGGTCGACTTATAGGTTTTGGGGGGCGCTTTTTATGAAAATGATATCCAATTTGAGATTGGGCCCCCCCGCCCCCGTTTTTTTTTAACTTTTGGGATTAAATCGATATCAGGGTCGACTTATAGGTTTTGGGGGGCGCTTTTTATGAAAATGATATCCAATTTGAGATTGGGCCCCCCCGCCCCCGTTTTTTTTTAACTTTTGGGATTAAATCGATATCAGGGTCGACTTATAGGTTTTGGGGGGCGCTTTTTATGAAAATGATATCCAATTTGAGATTGGGCCCCCCCGCCCCCGTTTTTTTTTAACTTTTGGGATTAAATCGATATCAGGGTCGACTTATAGGTTTTGGGGGGCGCTTTTTATGAAAATGATATCCAATTTGAGATTGGGCACCCCCGCCCCCGTTTTTTTTTAACTTTTGGGATTAAATCGATATCAGGATCGACTTATAGGTTTTGGGGGGCGCTTTTTATGAAAATGATATCCAATTTGAGATTGGGCACCCCCGCTCCCGTTTTTTTTTATCTTTTGGGATTAAATCGATATCATGGTCGACTTATAGGTTTTGGGGGGCGCTTTTTATGAAAATGATATCCAATTTGAGATTGGGCCCCCCGGGCCTCGACTTTTTTTAACTTTTGGGATTAAATCGATATGAGGGTCGACTCTTATGTTTTGGGGGAAGCCCCAAAACTGTCAATATCAAATCCGAAATGATTTTCATATAAAGCGCCCCCCAAAACATAAGATTCGACCCTGATATCGATTTAATCCCAAAAGTTAAAAAAAAACGGGGGCGGGGGGGGTCCAATCTCAAATTGGATATCATTTTCATAAAAAGCGCTCCCCAAAACCTATAAGTCGACCCTGATATCGATTTAATCCCAAAAGTTAAAAAAAACGGGGGCGGGGGGGTCCAATCTCAAATTGGATATCATTTTCATAAAAAGCGCCCCCCGAAACCTATAAGTCGACCCTGATATCGATTTAATCCCAAAAGTTAAAAAAAAACGGGGGCGGGGGCGTCCAATCTCAAATTGGATATCATTTTCATAAAAAGCGCGCCCCAAAACCTATAAGTCGACCCTGATATCGATTTAATCCCAAAAGTTAAAAAAAACGGGGGCGGGGGGGTCCAATCTCAAATTGGATATCATTTTCATAAAAAGCGCCCCCCAAAACCTATAAGTCGACCCTGATATCGATTTAATCCCAAAAGTTAAAAAAAACGGGGGCGGGGGGGTCCAATCTCAAATTGGATATCATTTTCATAAAAAGCGCCCCCCGAAACCTATAAGTCGACCCTGATATCGATTTAATCCCAAAAGTTAAAAAAAGTCGAGGCCCGGGGGGGCCAATCTCAAATTGGATATCATTTTCATAAAAAGCGCCCCCCAAAACCTATAAGTCGACCCTGATATCGATTTAATCCCAAAAGTAAAAAAAAACGGGGGCGGGGGGTTCCAATCTCAAATTGGATATCATTTTCATAAAAAGCGCCCCCCGAAACCTATAAGTCGACCCTGATATCGATTTAATCCCAAAAGTTAAAAAAAACGGGGGCGGGGGGGTCCAATCTCAAATTGGATATCATTTTCATAAAAAGCGCCCCCCAAAACCTATAAGTCGACCCTGATATCGATTTAATCCCAAAAAGTAAAAAAAACGGGGGCGGGGGGGTCCAATCTCAAATTGGATATCATTTTCATAAAAAGCGCCCCCCAAAACCTATAAGTCGACCCTGATATCGATTTAATCCCAAAAGTTAAAAAAAACGGGGGCGGGGGGGGTCCAATCTCAAATTGGATATCATTTTCATAAAAAGCGCCCCCCGAAACCTATAAGTCGACCCTGATATCGATTTAATCCCAAAAGTTAAAAAAAGTCGAGGCCCGGGGGGGCCAATCTCAAATTGGATATCATTTTCATAAAAAGCGCCCCCCAAAACCCATAAGTCGACCCTGATATTGATTTAATCCCAAAAGTTAAAAAAAAAACGGGGGCGGGGGGGCCCAATCTCAAATTGGATATCATTTTCATAAAAAGCGCCCCCCGAAACATATATGTCGACCCCGATATTGAATAAATCGGAAAGGTGAAAAAAAAAATTAGGTTAAATAAAATAAAACTTTTTTTTTTCAAAATTACTCATGGCGTTAAAATTTTTCATGAGTAATTTACTCATGG